GCGCCCATTGTATCGCTAATTCAGTTTTCTATGGCGAATAAAAGTAACTGGCGCGAGTCCTCGCGACGTCTGCCCCTTTAAGATCGAAATGACTGTGCTGTAAAGTTTTTTTGGTTCCGCTAATTTTTATTCAGAGTGCTGTTCTGCTGTCAATGTTTATTGAGGATGCGCTACTAATGGTTTCAGATGAACAGCGGTGTGAATTTATTATCAATTGATAAGTGTCCCGGTTATGGAACTTTTATAGGTAATAAACGTATCTTATGTATCGACTGCACGGCCTCTTTAATAATCGATACAGTAACCAATCAATCCTTCTACAAATTAGCAGCGAGAATTCTCTGCGGCGTTTACGATGGTTACATAGTCCTTATCGAGGTTTAGCTCATAACTGGTTGGGACAATTTAGTGTTCCCTGAAGTGTTGTAAATCTGCTGGCTATTATCCTCCATTAAAATCGTCTAAAATTTTCTAAACAGACTAATTATAACCTTGTAGAAATATTAGCTCGGGTTTTAGGGGAACATTAGCACATTTTCTCTAGAAATTCTAACCAAAGTTCTCTAAACAATTTCGCTTGAATCTTTTAAAAGAATTCCTCCAACTTTCATATATATAATTATTTTCTATCTTCTGTTGGACTGATCAAAAAGTCTCGTACTTCTAAACGAAGTTTAAATCAAAATTTAATTTTCTTGAATTGAACTTCGTTGAACCATACAAACTGAATATTCACTTTGTTTACTTACATTATCACAGAACAAAGTGAAGTAAAACGGCAAGACTTGTTAGTCGACTAACCCTAATGCTAATGCTGACATAATGGTTTCCTAATTAGATTTTAAAAAATTCGCATTTCCATGAAGAACCCTAATCTACTCGTTACGTGTTCAGTCGCACCCTTTTCGCACGCGACGCGTTCGTTCGCTTAATCCAAACGAAAGAAACGCTCTCGAAGAAGGGAAAATCCGTGTTCCGAGGCAGCGGGTTCGAGTGATCGATACGCTGCGCGCGTACCGTTGCAACGCGTGACGAAACCCGCCCCGAGCCGAGCGGAACACATCGTCGACGAATTTTTCCGTTGCGAGGAAAATTCCCGCCGTTCGAAAGTCCTTTTCCGCGGCAGTTTACGCAACCCGAAGCCCACCACCGCGTAATGCGGAGCAAAATGCGGCGTGATGTTTCTACGCAATAAATATTAAGCCCGTGAGAGACTTGGGCAACGAGTAACACGCGGCGAGAGTTCGATACGTTGATATCTGCATACGCGCAGGGAAATATGTTCTCATTGTCAGTGCTGTTGCACGAGACTCTGCGGTTTGGGTGTTTTATTTAACTATCTTGAGTTACACCATGGAACTTTGGTTCTTAATCTTGCGGCCCGCAAACCGCAATGGGGTTGAAAAGTGTGGCGGAGTATCGAAATTACTGCAGACGCCGTAGGTTTCGTGAGAAAGGGATTTTTTAGTATTGTTAATTATTGTTTTAATTAAAGAGCAATAAGAAAGGAATGTTTTGATAGTATACGAACACTACAACTACCAGACGGGTCAAAATGACCCATTTCTGAGTTCTTTATTTTGCAATTATTAAAAAGACAACAGATATTGCTACGAGGAATTATTAAAGAAACTGATTTGGCAATACGCAAACTGAATTATAAATCGATTAATGTCTCGATAGATGCACTCTTGGAATTTCTACAGAGAAATTTCAAAAAGTCAACTTAACTGTTCGGTAGGATTAGTGTTAATTATTGCGTTAATTAAAGGCTAGGTTAGAACGAAAGTCTGAAGAGTCGATTATTCGATGTGATTATAATAGGAGTTCCAAAGTGCCGTAACTAGATCGAGTATAATTTATATGATACAGTAGTGATAAAGGATATCAAATAGAATCATCGCGCGGAATCAATATCAATTCTGGGATAATATTTCACGAAACCCGTACTTGCATGGAAACTGTGGTGGATAGGTGAAAGGTCACAAGGCGATTATCAAAAGGGGTTGATTAAAAGGTGGAAACTCTGCACTGGAGAGCTTCAATAAAAGGATCTTGCCAGGGGATGAAATCCCTCGGCTTGGAACCTTGAATCTTCCGTGTCACAAAGGAATGTAAGATTCTTCAAAGAGTGCAGATCTGACATCGCGGAACGTTTCACACATCTACGCCACGTTTGGCCCAGTTCGAGCTAATTTGCATCGAACACCGTGCCCGCTTTCTTCCGGTGGCAATTCCTCGTCAACGTAGATCCCATAACGGCTCGAGTTACATAAGATCGAAGCTATTAGACCGGAATTCATCGTGATTCCGATCGATCGTGCGATAAATCGGAAACATGCCGACTGGATCGCCAGCATTTAATTGATCTATCTCGGCCGGACGGCAATTAATCGAAGCGTTGCCGCTCGGTATCGCATAAATTAACGATCGAAAGGCTCCGCCACGCGGAAATGAAAAAGTTTCGATTTCGTTTCTATTTATCACATTTGTTGCGATATCCCTTCTATTTCATTCTATTCAAAGATTTATCAATGTTCTCTTTACATTCTCCAATATTCTATTATTTTATAGGCGAGGATTGCTAAAAAATTATCCACTGTTCAGGGTTAAAATGTTCTTAGTTCATCCTTCAATTAAAACTTAAAAGTTGAGTGTACTTTAAACATTCTCGACGGGGGTGAATTTTAACAGTAAAGGGTTACACGGCGGAAACTCGAGATAAAGATCCAGAAAATTTCCGGACACGCTACCAGACACGAGAATCCACCAGACGACCGGAAGCAGTTCGCCGCAGAGGCGTCTTCCACGTGGAAAAGCTTTTCGCCGTGTATTGCGGTCAGTTTCGCGCTGCGTTAATTCAGCGTCGGCGATATACTTAACGGATTTTGTTTAATTATTTCCTGGTCGTGTCTCGTTAAGAGATAGTTACACTTTCGAGAGCCACGCCGCGCCGGCTCGCTCAGTTTTTTTCAGCCTCTTGTCTTCTCCGCGCGCACAATGGGCTGGCCGAGAGGACAGCCGAGAGCGCAAATACGCTCGTATTGCGCAACGCGCCAGTGCGATAATTAAAGGAAAGTTCTCAAACGTTTCTGCCGGCCATCAATCTCGCGCGCAATGATACGGTTCGACTTTTTCCTCGCGAAACGCAGCTGCCGTCGAAGTAATTAGCAATTAGGATAGTTAAGCGCGCCCGAAACGGAATGATGTTCTTTGCAAAAACTGACAGAAGTCGTGCGCCAAGAAATTAACCCTTTCAATTGGGTTCTATGGTTCTTTGGTAATATCTCATACCGTCTGTTTTAATACATAATATGATATAACAATGTAATATGAGATTTAATACTATTAAAATAAAACAATATATTTCATACTACAGTGATTACAATCATTCGAAATGGTAGAAATATTTTTTAAATTTCCACGTTCGAGCTCTCCACGTACTGTTAAGGGTTGAATAATAGGAAAAATGGAGCACTGAAAGTCAGTTCAGTTGATTTTTCTTAGTCCCTGGCTAACAATGTTCAATGGGAGAAGACTCTTTGTCATGAACTAAGAGTTCTGTCCTGTAAAGGGTTAATGAGACGCACGAAGCGTCGCTCGCTTTCCCTGCAATTAGCCCGGGCCCTCGTATCGACCGTGAGAGCGACAAGGACTGGGTGGGCACAGAGACGAGCCAAAACCGGAAGACCTGCTGCTTTATTGCCGCGTGTATGGGGGAACGTTACATCGTTGTCGGTGGATTTATTGCGAATGCCTCAATCCTGTTACTTCTGCGAGGAGGAAGCTTAATTTTTCGTGGCGAAACTTGGATTCTTAGAATTTCTTATAGATTCCAGCGACTTTCTCAGATTTTAGAGATTTTTAGAGTCAGAAAAGAATGCATTTTACCATTTTTCTTTCCCTTAGCATTTCATGAAACGGATTTCATATATTAATTTCTCGATTAGATGTGAGAAAACGTCTTCATAGACTAAAACAATTCTTCGGTACTAATCTCGAAAGAAGCAATCTCAATGAAATAATTACCTTAAATAATATTATTTAAATATTCTAGGTAAGAGAAGGAACGAATATTGTAAATATTTCGTAGCTGGACCCAAGAAACCACCTCTTACTCTGTCCAAAGTTAAATCCGAGTGTTCCAAGTTGCACGAGATCTTGCTAGAAGAGTCTAAATAGTATTCAGTAGCGAAAACCTTGGTAGTTTCTACTCTTTAGTCGAATCGCGGCGATTTTAACCTTCGTTTTAAGATTTCAAGCGGTCTGAAATCAAAGTTCACTTTTCAATCAACCTTCGACTTCGACGGAAAGTTTTCCGCGTTGCTTTTCAATTCCTGAATCCGTTTCACCGCAAGAGGGTAGGATCACCGCGCTGAAAGGAAGAAACGGACTGCACCTGCGGGGGATTCTAATCAAGCACGCCATTTACTCCTATGTTCGGTAATTAATTCAATTTCACATGAAATCGCTCTGGAATCGATATACGAGTTAAATAACAATCTTTGACCTCTCCTTTTAAAGATGCACGACTTAAAATATTAATTAATCAATTAATTAAAAAATCTCTTCGAAATCGCGAGTAAAATTCGCATTTACGATAACGCTATTTTCCCACTCTCATGTTTTATCGCAAAAAGTTATCACATTTATTTCTCCCAATCACGTACTCGAAGCTTCAAATTAAAAATATTTTCAATACATACGATACCTGACAATCAACATTTAGACAAATGAAAATAATTGAAATAATTCAAACAGAAAGGATTTGAGTGGATATGAGAAGTTTCAAATTGCTCTCTATCATTGCCAACGGATGATGGAGATGTACATACGTGGTACTCCAAAAATATGGGGCGTAAGTGTGATAGTATTAATCAGAGTAGGTAGTAGATAAAGTTGATTTAATAAGGCGATAGAAATGAAAGGAGGAAGCAGCGTAGCAGATTTTTATATAGGATTTTCAAGCAACTTTTCGTTCGAGCAACATGGACGCTCACCTTTAGCCGGTAACGTTCCCTCATCACGGTCCGCGTCTTCAAGCACCTGGGCGGTATCTGCAGGCACCAGGTGAACGTGTCCACGGTAACCGGCTCAGTATACCTTTCCATCGACGTGACCGTGTAACTGAAACGTTCAATCAATTAGCTATCTGTTCCTGACGCGATATCCTTATCGGGACGGTGTCGGCATGCCGCGGAACCAGGTGAGAGCGTAATAAACCGTCTGGGTTATTGTCAAGGCGCGTCCGCGAAACAGAAAACACCGTGACGAATTTGTCAAGTTCGTTCACGTTTGCACCGAAACGTTTTTCTTTCACTTAAACGGCGGATACCGATGAAATTGAGTTTCTTCGTCACCGCGGCTACCGAATGGGTCAAAATGACTTATTTCTGATTTCCTCTTTTGTACTGATTGGAAATGTACTGTTGCTTGATTAAGAAATTCTTCAATGAATCGATGTTGCGATACGTAAACTGAAATATTGAACCATCAATAAATGTACTTTTACAGTTTTTATAAAATATTATGATTTATTGATTCGACTGATCGGCAATTCTAGTGTTAAATGGTACGTTTTTATTCGAGAGCAGATGCCATCTGTTGAGAGCACTCTGGAGGAAGACACGGCCAGTAGGAAGCTCAGCAGATAGATCCTCTCGGTGCTCATTTCAACGGAATCTGGATCACCTGTGACATCAGTTACCTGTTAACCGGAGAAAACAAGTCAATTCGTTTATTTCACTTTCCCCTCTTTTAATTATTGTCCCTCGAAAGGATTCTGTTATTCAAGTATTTCTAATCAAATTGGATTAAAGTTGACACCTGTTTTCCTCGATCAAGCGGAAAAACCTTCTTACACATAAAACATTCGTATTAAATTAATTGATATATTCCTATCAAGAAAAAATATTTTACGCTCCATAAATACGTGTAATTGAAAATAATATTTCACATTCTGATCAGATTTACTCCATTAATGTTGAGCATACGGATCGAATTTAATGTTCCTGAATTTACGAGTGTCTAGTCATATTCATTAGGAGATAAAGAAATATTTATAGAACGTACTCAGTAAAGTCAGAGACATTTATTTCTCCGCGCAACTTGAGTGGGATTCGTGTTTCTGTAAGTTAATCGATAGAAAATCGATATTCGTGAAAAGATCGTTATTTATCGCACCTGTGCGTCGATACTTACGATAACTGGCCGAAGTGTCGGGTTTGCAAGCGATTCTCTAGAACGACAAAACTTTAAACATCCTGCAGGGACGCCGGCGTCGTCTCGTGTGTCATTCTTTAGCCGCCGGAAGCGTGCAGAATTCTGCCGGTCTGGGCGGCCTGTCTCTGTCGCTGTACGCAAGAGGAGTGTCCAGTTACTATCGGTAACACGAGACTCGTGACAATACGATATTACGGGCGCCGATCCGCCGAGGCAAGAGGAAAAGCGCGAGTTTTCCAGAGAAAGTCAGTATTCCAGTGGTCAATCCTGCGAGAAAGTTTTGAGGATTTGTTTACAGTATTCCAATGCACGAATCGTCTTGAATTTCGCGGACTCTTCTTTTTTAACACCCTGTGTATGACTCTGGTAGGCAAACGTTCTAATCGCCTCGAATTTCGTAGTCCTTCGGTTTTCTAACACTCTGTATATAATTCTAGTAGACAAGTGTTATTATCGTCTCGAATTTCGTGGTTATTTCTTTTAGCAACACTCTGTATATGATTCTAATAACAAATGTTCTAATCACTTCGAATTTCGGTATCTTCTTTTTTCGTAAAACCTTATATATGACTCTAGTAAACAAATGTTCTAATCGTTTCGAATTTTAGGACCTTTCTTTTATAACACCCTGTATATAATTGGACAAATGTTCCAACCTCGAATTTCCACAGCCTTTTTTACGTAATATACTCTGTATACGACTCGGTTAAAAAAATCTTCTAATCGCCTCGAATTTCGTGGTCCTTTCTTTACTAATACTCTGTATGTGACTCTAGCAGACAAATATTCTAATCGCATCGAATTTCGCGACCCCTTTTTTTCTGACACCCAGTACACAACTCGAGCAGACACTTCAAATTCGTTCGACAACCATATCGATCTCATATTCGGTGAAATTATTCCACGCTCGAACACAATGAACGTACTCTCCTATTGTCTAATGCTTCCATTATTTGCTAGAATAGTTTCAACCCTTAGTGTTTTTATTGTTCGAAAAATCATGCATTCAGGGGTCGACGTATTGTTTCTGTCGGTGTACAATATCGCTCGAAAATATTTCGTTTCTCGTTTGGTAAACAATGATCATTGTTTCTGTAGTGAGATGGAGGTAAAACGATGCTTGAATTTTTCTATTGGCGAGTTGAAAGAATCTAAATAAATTAAAATAGTGAATTGAAGATCAAAAGATAATACTTTATTCTCTTTTCTATTCACCTTTTTTCTGTCCTACATTTTTCACCAATAGAGCAGCAATACTAATTGTTATTTCGGTAAGCATTATTAATATAATAAACGTTAATGAATAATATCAAAATGATACAATACTATAAAAAAATTATTAATAAAACAATAAAACTTCAATAAAACGAGACAAATAGTAAATGTAATACTTCCCGAAACAATTCGCGGCCCCCTTTGAGTACTGCCAACAGAAAAGCTTGTTACACAAAGCTTCCCGAAATGAAGAAACCACCAGAGGAACGAAACCGAGAAGCGTCGTTCCGCAGCCGGAAATTGTGCCGCCGATATTAGACGCGGAGAAGGAACAAACGGTCCCATTCAAAGGACGTTCTTCGCGACAGGAAGTATTAACTCGCTCCAATTGGCTGATTGGGCCCGACAATGCGCGGGTGACGCGTCTAATAAACATACAGCTCGACGTAAATAACAGGGTCGAAGGTTCTCCGCGCCCCAGCGGAATCTCGAGAGCGTCGTCATCGGTCCCAGCTTTCGAAATT